TGTCATGCCACAGCTTCCGTGATTTCCACAGCATTATTATTCAAATATGGCTCTGTTGTTTCTCTATTTGATTGTCTAGTCTCTTCATCCTAAAAAGTCATAGTCAATGCCGATATAGAAGTTACATTAATATAAATAATAAATTGATGAGTGCATCAAGCATCTCATTCATCCTTAAATCCCAACAGTGTGATTAAAAACACTGAAGTTTGAACTAATGCTGCAATGTGGTAGACTTGGGGGCATTTCATACGATGCATGATGAGCATTCTTTTTACGTAAGCAACCGTACTTGCTTAGGTTGTTTGTGTGTGTGTGTGTGTGTGCACGCGTGCATATACTCTTATGTTGTTATTTATTCCGTAACTTCTTGATAACTCTATGAGTTAAATATAGGGAAAAGAGTCAAACAGCATACTGTATTTCCTATTTTACCTATTTTATATGTTAAGGATTGTAAATAGTAGCAAATCTGCTCTAATAGTGTAAATCTCTTTATCTCGAACCATGACTTTCATCAACTACTTCATTAGGCTCAAAGAAGCAACGTCGAAGAAGCAACAATGAGAACCATAGAGCAGAGGAAACGGCTTTACCCGGCATAGGATTGGACGAAAAACTCGAACTTCCCAAGATTCAGCAGGAGACAAATTGTGAACCTTCCCTCCTTGTCCTTGATGGTAAGGCCAAATCGCCAGAGTACAGAGACGAAAACATGGAGGTGGCTGAGCAATCGCCGTGTGAAGGTGAAAAAGGAATGGCGGCGTTATTAACTTTGCACAAAAACGCACAACTCATCAATGCCGTAGTTGAAGGCGAACTGAAGTATGCCGCGGCTGATCATACTGATCTGGTGAGGCTCCAAGCGGATCAGCTCATTGATTGTCTTGGAACAATTTCAGAAACCCTTGGTCAGCTCTGTGAGTTGGTGCAACAATGTAAATAGTTTGGACAAAGCTTACAGTTAGTTCCCATCATTATTTGTAGGGATCACATTTGTTTTTACTTTACCTGTCATTGTATGTTATATGTAATTTCTTTTTTTTTCTTTTTAGAAAGGAGAGTAAAAGTGTGAAACAAGAGTGTTAGCTATCTAAAAGTTTAAATGGCATGTTTTCGTTTTTTCTTATTCATTCCAAAATAGGATGAGGTAAATACATTTTATTTTATATGAGTATAGATTTTTTTCGCCCTTAAAAGCATTTCATGTTAGTCATTCACAAAGTGAATCAACTTGCATTTCTTTCCTTCTTTCTTTGGACCTATTTTCTTTAATTATTCGTTTTTAATGAAGAAATTTTGTTTACTCAAGTACTCCCTTTGACCCAGTGGATTTAACTAAGTTGTCTCCTTGTTCCATTGTTTTTGCCTTTGACCTTTTTGGATCTTACTCTCTCTGTCCTAATTTAAATCGCTTCTTTCGATTTACGATGGTTGAGTAAAGTTATTTTCAATATATTTTTTTTAGAGTTGGAACGTAATTCAAAAATTAAAATTTATACATTAAAAAACTACATAAAAACTATTCAAAACACGATGTGACATGATTATATTATTTAATGAAATGAGTAGCGAAAATAGAGAAAGAAAGTAAATAAATTTTAACAACGTGAATTGTAAACAAACAAGTTAATTTTACATGGAGAGAGTACTATTTTGATCGCATATCATATTTGTTTAAATTTGTGTAGTTCATATTCACTTATTTAATCTTTTTTTGAAAGATCAATATCAATCACACAATATTTGATTTAAAAATTGTCATTACTTCATTTTCTAAAGATAGAAAGACGGATCGAGTAGTACTTTAATATACTTTTTAAGCCACTAATATATATTCCCTCCATCCCTAATTTGATTACAAATTAAATTGCGAGTAACGGATAAAATTTCCTACTTTTTGAAATCATTTTATTTACAAATTGGTATATCAATAAGATATAAAAATTACATATTCAAAAACCTAACTACGTCAAATTAAAAGTTCTACAAAACAAGAGGTGACAAGAATATTTTATTTTATCAAATATTTAATGAAATCGTGTAAACAAACATAAGTTATCGAGAGAAGAGAAAAAAAAATTGTAATCTATTTAGAGACGGAGGGAGTAATCATTCTATTCTTAAAAGCAAGGGAATTCCGCCCCAAGCTTTTCCCGCCCAAAGCACATTCATTCAGCACCGTTGATTTCATTAGATCTACGGTTGTCCTTCATCTTTGATGGGTATATCCCTATACCCGACCCGGACAACCGAAAGGGACAGGTCAAAATATGACCGGTCACTTTTATCAATCACCAAATGAGGTTAACTCTTCGATTGGGACGGGTCAAAAGTTGACCGGTCACTTCCACTAAAAAAGTGACCGGTCACATTTTGGGCGATAGCCAAAATGTCACCTTATGTAACGAAGGATATTCCGGAAGACCAAAGAGACGGGCTGAGCTCAAACAATGACCGGGTAACCTTTGAGAAAAGGTGACCGGTCATAATTTGATACTTTGCTAGCATTAGTCCAGTCTCTTAGGCATGGTTAACCATGTCAGAGGTCAAGGGGACACCCTGCCGCTCATCCGTCACGAGGCACACAGTGAAAGGGATGTTTGTCATTTTGCAGGGTTGATTGGATTGAGAATATCCATTTTAGTCTTTGATTGAACAGTGCTTTTTTGGTTGTATTAGTAGCAAGTCTATGATTGTACAGTGCTTCCATTATCTACAGTGACCTTCCCACGAGTTTCCTATTTTGTCCATGGATGAACAGGGGAGGGTCACAAATCCTCCTCTATAAATATGATGATATTGGATAGAGGAGGGGATCCAATTTTTCTCTCACTAAAGTTCACTCTTGAGATAGAGTAAGAAATATAATTCGGACTGAGGAGATTTACCCGGTCTAGGTCATACTTTGTGTTCTTGTTGTGTGTTTTATATTACGGGTCGAGTGTGTCCAGGTCAAACCCGGTTAACCCACCCCGCTATATTTACACCATCA